TCTTTTTTTTTTCTTATTACTTTTTAATATTATTTTATTCTTTTTCTCTTTATTTTTAATTTTTATTCTTGAATCATAACTGACTATCCCACAATAGGATTAAGGTCTAGAAGAACCTGAAGAACTTCCTCTTTTTTCCTTTCAATTTTCTTTTCTTTTTAATTTTGGGCTTTTTATTTTTTATTGGCTTTTTCTTATGTTTTCCTTTTTCCTAACTGGATTATAATTGGCCATCCTACTAACTGGATTAAAAGAGCTTGAAGACCCTGAGCTACCCAAAGGAGTAAGAAAATTTTACCTTCTGGCATTTCAACCTCTGCTCCTGCCTCCCCATCAGCTGGAGGACGACTTTTAACAATGGCGAAGCAAGATAAAGCACAAGTGGATTTAACGGTGATTATGCAAGGAATACAAGAACTTAAAACGAGTATTGAACAAAGAACGGAGAGTATTGAACAAAGAATTGGGAAGACTGATGAAAAAATTGAAAATTTTCAACAAATGGTGAAATACGATGAGAGACTCCAAAAAATGGAAGAGAAAGACAAACAAAGAGATGAGACCATTGGAAATATCGATAGCAGATTAACAATGGTTGAACAAGACAAAAGTGGGATGTTGAAGTGGGAGATGGACAGGTCAGAATTCTATCTCAGATTTCAAAATATAGAGGAAGAAAAAGGACAAAATTTGGCTGCAGTAATGATAGAAATCCTGGCTGGAGCTCTGGGAATAACAGAGGAAAAGGTGATGGATGGAGTAGATGAGATATACTGAGTCTTCACAAGATATGCGATGAGGAACAATCTACCAAGAGAGATCCATGTCAGATTTACCAAAAAAACTATTAAAACACAAATATTACAAGTGGCAAGAGAGAAGGCGTTGAAATATAAAGACAAAGAGATTGTGGTCTTAAAACAAGTACCCAGAAAAGTGAGAGAGATGAGAAGAGAATATCGATTCCTGACTAAAATGTTATTGAAAAAAGAGGTGAATTACAGATGGCTGATTCCAGAAGGATTAATGTTTACATGGCAAGAACAGAGATACAGAATTGACTCAATTGAGAAAGCAGAAATATTCTACAATGAATTTATCGAAAGAAGAGAAATAGAGACGGAAAAAGAGACCATCTCAATTGAACCTCAAGAGGACCAAATGAGGGGATGGGAAAAGAAGAAGGTGCAGTAGGTGGACAAGTGGAGACCAAAGATTTTGATAAAGTGCAGTTGGGTGTAAATGGTGGAGTTGATTTGCAATTTTATTTTCAGAATAACTTATCTCTTCAATGTCCTTTGCCTGACTTATAAGCTGTATTGTTTGTCTAACGATCCTTGGCTTGCTTGCTTAATGACTTCTACCTTTCCGGTCCTTGTGTTCTGCTTTTTATTTTCTGGATGGTATAAAGCAGACAGAGTAACTCCGCAAAACATCCATAACAAAGTCTTTTTTATTGGTTCATCAGGTATCCTCATAACATTTGTTACAAAGTTCATAAAAATTGACTATCTAGACTAGCTAATTAACTATCCAATTCCCATACACTGGCTGAACAGCACACCTTACAAGGATCCTCATGATGATACCTGGAAAGTGTCCTGCTATTTTAACTTTCAAAACTTTTCCTCAGCAGCCTTTTAATTTAATATCTGACTTTCATTATGTGTGTTAACTTCTTTTAATCTTCCAGGTGCTTATGTTTCACTCCCCTCCGTTCTGGGCCTTTTTCTGAAGGCTATAGCTTTGCTGATTTTGTTCAGTCACTCTTTTTCCCATCCAAATGCTAGAGGCCTGGCACAAGCTTGCCATATTCCAGTTACTCAGGTCAAGCAGATTGTTTCATTATCAACTTTGGCAAATGGATGTTACCTACTAGGCAAGCACCCTCTTTTTTACAACATTGCTTTTTTGCAATTTTGTACAACCTGGAATATACCCATAATGGAACATGCTCACCGGTCATTTAAGGCCTGTCTCCACAACTAAATAAAAGAGGGTGGAAAGGGTCTCTAAAAAGTTTTAAAAAGTATTATTTACCTTAAACCAATTGAATGCAATTGAATGTTTCCAACTACCTTAAATTCATTGAATGTTTTAGTTAACTCTTTGGGGAAGAGCGGGCAGAGCTGGGCTGCTTTGTTTGCTCCTACAGGACCTTTGTGGATTCCAGCTCATTGTGTCCACCCAGCCAAGGATGTCGCGGCACCACCCCAGTCCCTGGATCTGGTCCCAGAAATGTGACTCTACAGATGGCATAGTGTCCAATCTGGGCTCATTTGTTTATGCTTGATTGTTTACAGCTACACACAGAATGATGTCTTTTGCTTATCAGAAGCCTATGATATGGAACATTTGCTTTCTACATGTTTAGTTCCTGTTTGCACTCCTGCAGTAATTCAAAACTTCACTGGCTTAAGCGGATTTTTATTACACGGGAACTTTAACTATAAGACTATATCTAATTGGGGATTTGCTGCTTATTATCCACACCTTGTTGCCAACGCTTTACACACTAGTGTGTAAAGCTTTCTGAACACTGGAATTAAAAAAAAAATTCTTTTTTGCTATAAGTGGGAAGGGAGAGGTAAAGAATTAATATTAAGACCTCGCTGGAGGAGACTGCTTGGAGCTTGTAAGATCAGAGTTAAACTGTAACAAGACTTCTAAAAGATACATTTTGGAACTTTGCAATAGAACTGTACCCCAGGAAGAGAAAGTATAAAAAGAAGAAAGTGCTAAAACAGCTTGTGTTTATTTGGACTGCTTGGTGATTTTGGGACTTTTGGAAATTATTATTTGAAAGACTAAAAACATTTGGATTGTTTAAAAAACTTTTACAATGGCATTATCTGTTGAAGAACTGAAAATAGAATTTAAAAAGCTAAAAGAAGAGGAACAAGAAGGGAAGGCTCTTAAAGATCTGTTTTTCATTTCTTAGAAATGGCGATTTCTACCTACCAGGAATTACAAGAACAAGAAGATTGGGAAGAAGAAGAAGAAGAAGCCATCTTTAATGAACTAACAACTTTAGCTGGGGAAGAAAAAGGAAAGAGGGGAAAGAGAATGGAGAATTTAAGACTTAAAAGAATAACCAAAAAAGGGAAAAATAAGGTGAAAAATCGATACAATGTCAGAAAGCAACAGAAAAGAGGAATGCAGAAGAGAGTGAAGATTAAGAGGGTGGAGATCAAGAGAAATGGGGGAGGGGTAAAAAGGCTAGATCGGAGAAGGAAGGAAGGGAAAAAAGGAAGAGAAGTTACAAAGGTTTGAAACAAGATGTAAAAAAACAGTTTTTTTTCAGAGATAAAGGGTAGAAACATAATTAAAAAAGAGATTCTGCAAAAGTACATAAGACTGTATTGTTGTATTTGTATTTGAAAAAAAGTTAGAAAACTGGAATATTATATGATTTAATAAAATATTAAAGGGAATGTGTAAAATGTTTAAGATTTAATGATAGAGTTTAAATTTGCTATGGATTATTGTTTTAATTACATTATAAACTTATTATTTTCTTATTTTAAAATAGTATGTAGCTTTTGAATGTACTAAGCAGAATCAGAATGAAAATTATATTTTATTTTAAGTGTTAAATTTAGGGGAAAGATATAAAAGTGTCATACTTCAATCAGTGATTGCAGGAGAAATTATGTGTTAAAGAGAAAAGCTAAGTAGATAATTACAGAACGGACGAAAGTTACAAGAATAATGATTTAAATTGAGATGAAATATACAAAATAGAATTAAGAGAGTGAGAAGAGGGGAGAAGTTATATAGAAAATATAGAATGGTAAATAAAATATGAAATGGTATACAAAGTGAGCATGAATTTGATTTATGTCTGTACAAAAAGATGTAACCCGGGACTAAGCTGCTTTCCAAAAAGAAGTTTTATGTTTACATGTTTTGTGTTTTGTTTGTGTATGTTTGTTTATTGAAAATTAATAAATTTTTATTTAAAAAAAAAGAGGCTGCGTGCACCCTGACCGCAGGGTCATCTGGTGGTTGCACTGTCTCACCAAGAAGTCCCCCGAGGTGGGCTGCAGCAAGAAGGAACCTCGGGTGACTGAGCCAGATTGGCTCCCAGGCTGTGCTCGACTTCATCAGGTCCCTTACTAAAAATCTAAATGTACTGTACTAACTGCATTGTCTTGTTCCACCGATTTACTCACAATGAGACACTGATACTACAGATGGAAGCTTCCCTCCTCAGACTGGGAAGACCGGTGATAAAACAGGGCAGTTCTCCTGCCAGCTCTACCAAATCCGTCTTTCTCTGCTGCACATCAAGGCAGTGTGATTGATGGAATCGTGGGCTGGCACTACGTCACCGATTTTGCTAAGACATCAGGTGGGTTGAGGTCAATGGGATGCGTGAAGAAGGTGGCGGAGGTCCCCACGGCCAGCAGTGGTGAACCCGAAGGGAAAGTCCGCCAAGGCAAGTCGCCAGCTGCCTGAAGCCCTTCAGGGAAAACCTTGCTGAGGGGGATCCCCCACTGTGGGAGATGGAGTTTCAAGCTGCCTAAGGTACCGGGCCTCCTGCGCCCCCGCCGTGGCCGGATCGGGCGCTTCCCTGAGGGGGGGGGGGCCCTCCGGGGGCCGGAAGGCAACCTCCACGCTCCTCAGCCGGCCCGCTCCTTAGGGCGAGGCTCCGGCGCTCCGGGCGCCAACGGCCCTGTGCTGGTCAAACCTCGGCTTTCCGGGCCTGCATCTTGCGCCGCTGCCGCCGCCGCCGCCTCCACGCCGGGCAAGCGCACAGCCGATCGCCCCGGCGGCCCCCAGCCCGTGGCAGGGGCGGAGCTTCCCTGCTCCGCGGGTGAGTGAGCGGCGGCTGGGCCGGCCAATGGGCAGCCTCGACCTTCCCGGGCAGCCTCCCGCGCCGGGCCAATGGGGAAGGCGCGGCCCCCGGGCGGCAGCTGGCCCCGACGACGTCATGGCTGCGGCCACTTCTGCCGGAGCCCGAGCGCGGCGGCCCGTCCCGGCGCGGACTTCCCAGGATGGGCTGCGCGGCTCTCGGGCGGCTCCAGCTGCTGTTCCAGCTGCTCGCCGGGCTCAGCCTCCGCCCGCCGGCCGGTGAGTGCGCGGAGGGCGGGCGGGCGGGCGGGGGGAGCGGGCCCGGCGGGAGCTGTCCGAGGCCCCTGGTGCTGAAGGAGCCGCCTGGAGCCCTCCGGCCAGCTGTTCGGAGCTGTCCGCCGCCGCCGCGGTGCTGAGCGCGAGCCGCGCCGGGAGACAGGCAGAGCTGCGGCGCTGCGGGGCCCAGCAGCAGCTTCTGCCCAGCTTCGCAGGAGATCCCGCGCCTTTCTGGAACGGCTGGCCGTCTTGCCTCCCAGCCGGCCCTGCGCTTCCAGCAGAATTGCCTTCCAACCCTATGGCGGTCGGGCCAAAGCCCCTGCGGTGCTAATAGGGCGCGAAGCAGCGTGGGAAGGAGAGCGGAGGCGGTGGGGCAGGGTGAGAGTGGGAACCGTTCCTCCGAGCCCAAAGAGCCCTGGAGCAGGCCCTTAAACGAGAACAAGAAGGCCCCATGCTTCTTCCACCCATGGGGCCTGAATACAGTCCCCAGTGGAAGGGGCCCCATTCCCCTTTGGCACCGCTCTCCTTGTCTCCAGCTTCAGAGGCCAGGAGTTTTCCTTTTTCCTCTCCTCCACAGGAAGAGGGGGAGAGGGAGAGAGAGGTACCTGCCAGTCTGCCAACCAATGGAAAGGGACGCCTTTCCTGTGGAACTGCTGCCTATCAGCTCTCAGGGCTTTTAATGACCTGGGGGTTGAGGGCTTTCAGCAGAGAGCTCATTTTCAGGTGAAGGAATATTCTCTGGGCTTCCCTGAACTTGCAAGAATTGTTTCACGGCAGGGCTGCTCACATGTCTTGCCACGTGCCCTTGGCTCAGCACCCGTCCAAACACAACTTCCAAAGGATGTGACTGATGGGTCTGCAGGCCATGGAGGTTCTTCAGGATGAAGCCCCGCCTCCATCCTCCTTATGACCCCAGAGAGTTATTGGTGCTGTTTTGGTGGCTTAGGAAACTTGCAGGGTTTGGGGATTGTCCTAATTTATTTATCCGCTTTCTGTCCTCTCCGAGAATCCTGAATGCACAAGCTCCCCACCAGAGCAGGTTTTCTTTGTGTTTGTTTCCTGGAAAAGACACGGGGGACAGGAGCATTTCAAAATCCACCTTGAGGATCCCTAGACGGCTCAAACTGAAAGGCAACCCTGAGGCCAAACCCAGGTGTCATGGATCTGATGTCATGGTTTAGGCCCTGATTCCCCCCGCCCCCTTTCCCTTCTCAGTTTCTAGGCAGCCATTAGGGACGTTTGTCTGAAGGACTCAGCCTGCTAGAAGCCAGCATGGGTTTCTTCAAACACAGATCATGCCAGAGAAATCTTATATCCTTCTTGGATTAAGTGACTAAATTAGTGGACCAACAAAATACTGTGGCAAACTATACTTGGACTTCAGTGATGCATTTGATAAAAGAGACCACAGCCTAGTTCTTGGCAAGATAGAACAAAGTGGGATAGACAGCATCACCAACTGGCTGACTGCATCAAATGGAGGGAAGTATGGAGTGAGGTAACCTAAGGTTCTGTCTTAGGCCCAGGACTCTTCCACATCTTAACAAATGATCTAGATGAGGCGATTGAAGCTCAACAAATTTGCAGGTGACACCAAGCCGGGGGAAATTGTTAACACTTTAGATGATAGAGTCAAAATCCAGAAGGATCTTGGCAGACTTGAGCAAGACGCAGTTCACTGGTGAGAAAAGACTTAGGCAGAAAAATGAAACACGTAGGTATAGAATGGAAGGTACCTGGGTTGATAGGATGGAATGGAAGGTACCTGGGTTGATAGTAGTAACTGTGAGAGGAATCTAGGTGTCCTGGTGAATCAGCACTTCAGTATGAGCCGGCCATGTGCTGCAGCTGCCAAAAAAGCCAATGCAGTCCTGGGATGCATCAGTAGAAGGATAGCATCAAGATCATGAGACATTATAGCACCATTCTCTACTGCACTGGTGAGGCCACACTTGGAAGGCTCCATACAGTTCTGGTCATAATACAAAAAAGGATGCAGAGACCTTAGAAAGTGTGCAGAGAAGAGCAACAAAGATGATAGGGGATCTGGAGGCTAATCATACGATGAATGGTTGAGGGAGCTCGGTATGTCTGGCCTATCCAAGAGAGGGACTGGGGTGACCTGATAGCCATCTTCTGGCACTTGAGGGGCTGTCACCAAAAAGGGGGAATTGACTTATTTTCCAGGGAACCAGAGGGCAGGAGAAGAAGTAATGGGTGGAAGCTTGTTAAAGAGAGATCCAACATAGTAATAAGGAAAAATGTTTGGACAGTGAGAACAATTAATCAGTGGAGCAGCTTGCCTCCCAGAGTTGCAGCTTCTCCCTCACTGGAAGTTTTCAAAAACAGACTGGACAGCCATGTGACTGGAATAGTAGAGGGTCTCCTGCCTTGAGCAGGGGGTTGGAGTAGATTAAAAGACCTCTGAGGCCCCTTCCTGCCTAGGATCCCATGTTTATGCTTCCCTTTCAGCCTATGTGCAGGCTATGTCCATTATTCTGTGCTTCTTCTAGTCTTCTAGTCCAGGGGTCGCCAAACCTTTGGACCTCAGGGACCAGAGACCCTGGGAAAATCCCCCAAAAAGTCTGCAGGAAAATTCCCCACCCCATTTTCCTACCGATCGATCGTTCTTTATTTGGGATCGCAGGATCCCGTCTCCAGCTCCATTCTCAGTGGGAAAAAGAGAGACTTTTGGCTTCATGCAAGGAAAGCAGCAGAAGCTGCAGAAGTCTTTCTTTCTCTCCCCCAAACTCTGCCAGAAATGAGTCTTTGCCAGCAGAGCCTCTTGGAGCAGGAGGCCTTGCAGGGTCCCAAAGACTAATTTCTGGCGGAGTTTGTGGGAGAGAAAGAAAGACTTTGGCTGCTTTCCTTGCGTGCAGCCAAAAGCAGAAGAAGAAAGAAGTGGAAAGAAGCAGCCCGGTGGCCAGACCAGGCACGTAGGGTGAGTGGGGCAAGTTCCCCCCTCCATCCTTTCCCCCCTTCCCTCACTATCTCGTGTTGTTCGCAATGCAAGTGACGCAAACCTTGTGTTCCTGTGGGCCATGTGGGCAGCGCAGCCTTGTGTTCCCACGCAGCCTGGATTCATTGCTTTGGGGGTGACATTTCTCTGTGGACCACCAAAATTTTCTTGTGGACCACCAGTGGTCCCTGGCCCATTGGTTGGTGAACACTGATCTAGAGCACCTAAGAAAGGAGAAGCACCTTGAGAAGTGATGCCAGTGGCACACCTGTTCCATGCCTTGGCAGGTGGCTGGGAGTGGAAGGGAGAGGCCTCTAGTACCCCACAGTCTCGCTGTCAGTTGGTGCTCCATTCAAAATCCAAGAAAGAAATACTTAGACTTCATTAATCAGAGAAAATATATCTTTTACTGGAAATCAAGTGGTAGCAACAAAAGAATTCTGAATCTGAGAAAATGGGCGCGTACATCACATATACAAAGTGATGGCAACGTTCCCACCCCCAACAGTTCAAATGGTTTTTCCCCTTAAAAGTCGTGTATATCATCATGTGGGCATCTCCAGGTGGTGATGAGGCCTCTGTCCATTGACCTTGACATGTTTTGATAAAGAGTTGTGGCTGCGCGTAGCATAGGATAGAAGCCTAAGCAAGAACCTCCC